ATAAATAATTTAAAGGGAGAGAACCCTATGAGCATCAGTGTTCACTTCTCCCTGTTTCTTGACCACAGCTGCCACGTGACCAGCTGCTTCATGCTGCCGAAGCATGTCTTCCCCACCATGACCTGTTGTGTCCCCTGAGCCATGAATCAAAATGAGTTATTCCTTCTCAGTCGCTCATTGTTAGGTACTTGATCACGACAGTGAGAAAAGCGATTAATACAGAAGGTCATGGCCACTCGGGGCACCTATGCTGTCCTATGATGCTGCTGCACTGTCACTGGGCCATCCCGGTATGGTAAAAGAAAAACGGAAATATCAGCAATGTGCCCTTAAGTTTTTCAGTGAGCTTAAGCCAACTTATTTCGTCACTTGCATAGTCTACAGACTCTACATGGGGTCCCTTCTGTGGACAATTAACTTTTAGCCACAGCGAGCTCTTAATCTTCCAACACACATTAAAAACCGCAGCATGTGGAGTTCCCACCCGCACTGGCTTCCCAGTCCTGTTCTTTGGCCTTTCCTGCCGTCTCCACATGAACAAGTCTCGGACTCTGCAGCTAAGACCTCCACTTTTCCTCCCTCTCCACCACTACTGCTCCACTCCGTACTGGACTTTCGTACTGTCGGATGTCCCACCAGGCTGTAAGCACTGCAGGAGCAGCCCCGAGAACAGCATCAGATGGCACTGGGTGATTCTTGCCCAGTGGGAATGAAAACAGTGTGCAGGAGAGTGCCCTTTGAGAGTGCTCGGAGCTAAGGCCCCAGAGCTTATGTATTTCATGAGTGTATGGATCACAGGAATTTCTGAACCTGGAGCGGCCGGCCTTGGTAAGTGGTGATTGAACAAGGTGATTGAAACAAGCCAGCCGGTCCTGTGGGGAGAGTCGCCCTACAGTGTGGCTCAGAGATATTGGGTGTAGCAGGGGTGGGGTTGTGACAGCAAAGCCAACTTCCCTACTAAGCCTGACGTTTGATCATCAGATTCTCTCGGCCCACTCCATCTTTAGGTCATTAGAACAGAAGAGGTTTGTGTCCTCAGCCTTAGCGCCATCTTCCTTGAAACTGCTGCGCCTTGAGAACGAAGTGGAGGAAGAAGCGCATGCGCAGGCTGAAGCGCAAACGAAGAAAGCCGTGGCAGAGGTCCCAAGTAAACCAGCTTGTGCACCCACAGAGGCTGAAGGAGCAGAAGTAAGGGATGCTGAAGCCCCAGATGCTGATACAAGTTGTTGGACTGGGTGCAACTGTTGGTATAAGTCTCAGTGGACCTGGAACATCACCATCTGCTCGCAGAGACCACCTGAGACCTGGCTGCCTTCATCACAACCAAAACAGTCCCGCTGGACCCCTGCCCTGGCTGGACCTGTGGCGTTCTGGACTAGTTCTGTTCTCACGGGTGGCCAAGTGGAACTCGTGTACAATAAATCATCTTTCTCGCTGACTCAGCTGGGGGAAAAAAAAGATGTTTGTGTCTAGGATCCCAAAATATCTGGGGTCTCACACCGAATATTGTAGTGAAAAGGACAAGGATGTTCTAAGACATAAATAAAACATGGAAGCAATGTGTCTAATCTAGTCAACGACAAGCAGGAAATATGGATGCTATATTACTACCCTTATGTCAAAATCCACAGAAGCTAGGGTTTCAAGGTCAAGTTCATACTGTGGGCTGGGCACTAATAAAGGAAAGCAGCTTTGGCTTTGACTCATTTCCTGGTCATTTCAGATTCCTTATATACAACACAAGTGTTTTCCTTTTAAAGGCATGCACAGTTAAAAAGAAAACCACAGGCTGGTAAAGATGGAGATGTTTATGAAGTTCCTTGGCAACCAGATACTTTTCCCATGCTGACATGCTGACATGCACATGCATTTGCCATGATGACACACTGCAGCATTGCCGCATTTTAAAACAGGAACCTTTCCAATATAATGCATTGGCATCAACACGATTGCCACCAATAAACAAGAAGAAAGGCTGGCGAAGAATGTTTAAAGCCAGGTCTACCAGTTCAGGAGCGGCAGTGAGACACGGAGCGTGGAGTGGACAATACGTGGTGAGGGCTGCATGGAGGCAGTGGAGGTAAGAGGGTACCACTTAAGAGTCTAAAATTAGGCCAGGCAGGGGTGGCGCACGCCTTTAATCCCAGCACTTGGGAGGCAGAGGCAGGCGGATCTCAGTGAGTTCAAGGCCAGCTTGGGCTACAAAGCAAGTTTGAGGACAGCCAGGACTGTTACACAGAGAAACCCTGCCTCAAA